CTTCAGGTAACATTATCAATATTTACGTGCTTTCCTTCCTCCTCCCACCCATCCCCCCAACTCACTAGGCAATGAGAAACCATGGGCAGGAGAGTCCAATAAGAGCTGGACTCAGCAAAGTGACATCACAGCAATGACTGCAATGTTTGAGCGTTAGAACCCTGAACCAGGGCAATAGCCGCAGCAATGGAATAAAAGGAGCAGATGGGAAATGCTGTCAGAAGTAGAATCCATTGACCACAACAACTTTTTTGCAATGGTGGGAGACAAGAGAAAAGTAAAAGACATTCTGAAATTCTGAGATTGAGTTTAAGAAAGAATGGTGCCATGAATAGAAATGAAGACATTCACAGGAAGGGAAGGGAAGATGACAAATTCAGTTTTGCACCCAAAAAAATGTGTTCTTTGGGTCTATCTCTGGATGAACCCAAAGGACACATTTGTTGAGACCTGCCCATTGATTCAGGGAGGTGATGTTGAGTTTGAGGTGCTATTGGGACATTCAGCTTTGCATGAGTAGGGGGTGAATGGGTGTAGATTCAAGATGCAGAGTCATCCCAAGTGCGGTCCCAAAGGAGAAAATATTGAATGAGCTAAGGGCAAGAACATTTAGGGAGAGAAACTGGAGGAAACACAGGAGAGGTTGCCCATGCGTAGAATGAGATTGTGTGCTACCAAAGAACCGAGGGAGCGTGGGATCGCAGGGGGGGAGGGGATGCCAGCGTGCCAGGCGCCTCTGAGAGGCCTTGGGCTCGCGGCCTTTCAGAGAGGGTTCTAGAAGGCTTGATGGAAGCAGGGTCTGGCCTTTGCCTTCTAGAACTGTCTACTTCCTGCTGCTTGAGGGCTAGGCCTGTTGTTTCCCTTTGTCCTTGATGCGAAGGAGGTCAGGAGTAGGAAGAATAGGAACCACCGCCTACTGAATCCTTGTTCCGTACCAGGCACTGTCCATTGACTTGAGAAAAAGTGGACTTTGAATATATTTTTTTAAAGATTAGGGCCACTTGGCCATATTTATCAGCGAAGGAAAGGAAGAGCGGTCTGCGCCGACCACTCAGCCTGTGCGGTGCACTGTGTCCGAGACATATTCCCTCTTTGGGTGTCTTTCACTTTCACTCTTTCTCTCCCTCTGATGACCTTCTGTGACCCTGTCCCTTCTCCAGCAGACATCAGGCTCCTTGGGAAGGTAAGATGGAAGGCTCCCCTCACCTGTTCTTTGGGGACTGGTGGTGTGGGCTCCACCCCTGCAGGCCCTACCTTTCCATTCTGCCCTGCTTTTCACCCACTTGGCTGAGAGGACATGGGCTCCAAGCCACGCAGGCTGTTCTCTTTTGATTCTGATAAAGCACAATGATGGCAACGAATCCTGGCAGTTTCCCCAGGAAGCTGTCATCATTGGTACTGCTGGAGGCAGTGGGGAGCGATTCTATGAGGCAAGAGGAAGCCATGCGAACCTCCTCCCTCTCTGAGATCACCCCTTTCCCTAAGAGTCTCTGGGATCAGCTAGATATTATGGAGTTTTCTCTAAGGCAGGGGTGGGGAAACTTTTTTCTGCCAAGGGCCATTTAGATATTTATAACATCACTCGCGGGCCATGCAAAAATATCAACATATTTTGATTGCCAGTCAGGGCACATGCCTGGTTGCGGGCTTGATCAATGACTCTCTCATCATTGATGTTTCTATCTCTCTCTCTCCCTCTCCTGTCCTCTCTCTGAAATCAATAAAGATATATTTAATATATATATATATATGTATATATATATATATATCAACATAAAAATTAGCTATGAAAAAAATCTAGATTTATTGAATTTCAAGTCCCGCCTGCGGTTGCCTTGGCAGGGCCAGACCAAATAATTTCGCGGCATACGGCCCAAGGGCCTGATGTTCCCCAACCCTGCTCTAAGGGAACGGTCTTATCAGTCTATCGAAGTAGTTGAGAGCAATAAATAATAGAGTAGGAAGCCAGCAGATGGAGGCAAGGCAGTAGTGCCTGCTGTGGGCTCCAGCCTTCTAAAGTTCTCTCTTAGTTCAGGCCTCTCTTCCTCTCTGGCCTGGAGTGCTGCAGTGGCCCCTGATGATATTTCTGTTTCCAGGGTCTCTCCCCTACATGCCATCCCAGCCCCAGCCGGCCTCCCAAGATCTCTTTCTACAACATAGACCTGATCATAGCACATTCCTGCTTTATGCATTTTCCTACCTCCTCCAGGATAAAGTCCTCCAACCTTACCAAAGCCTGAGAGGCCTTTCCAGTTTGAGCCCTGCTCACAGCAGGTCGCCTAGAACCCTCACCAAAGCCATTCTTCGCTGTTCTTTTACTTATTCATTCATTGGCATCTTCAGCAAATGTTTTTTCATGGTCTATTCTATGGTAGTATCTGCTGGGAACCACACACCCTGGCCAGTCCACACTTCTTTTCCACCCCAAACACCCTCCCTGCCTTTTGGGGCCCAGTGCCTTCCCACATGCCCTGTTCTCAGCCTGCGAGCCCCCTCCATAGCTATTCTCTAGGTCTCCCTTTCAGATAACACTTTTTTCTTTGAGCTCCACGACCTCTGAATTATTTTTTATTAAAGTTATCTATGTATTGTGTTAATCCCCCTTTTAAAAAAAATCACAATCTTGTTTACTATTTCAGTAAACTTTTTAAAAAATTATATATATATATTTATTGATTTCAGAGAGAGGAAAGGAGAGGGAGAGAGAGAGACAGAAACATCAATGATGAGAGAGTCATTGATTGAGCCCACAACCCGGGTATGTGCCCTGACCAGGAATCGAACCCCGATCTCCTGGATCCTAGGTCCATGCTCAACCGCTTAGCCACACTGGGCGGGGCTTCAGTAAACCTTTAACAGGAATAAAAATCAGTGTCCCTAGTACTTGCTTCATCCTCTTACCCTGTGAGCGAGGCTTTTGGTGTGGATGTGTTCCCACTCTTCAAAACCTCCTGCCTGGAGTTTGCGATATGAATGAAGGATGCTAGGGATGGATACCAGCATGATGGGACAGTGCTATAGAGGCGGCCCACCACTGCGGGAATGACATGAAGGGACCCACTGTGGCCCCCCACTGCTCTGTCCCCTACCAGTTGGCCAGAGTGAGCTTCCCTACACTACCCATGCATCAGGTTGCTCCCCAGCAAAAATTTTGCAATGCTTCCTTTCCACTGAGCGCATTAGGAGAGAGGCAGTGTGATGGCTGGATGGGGCCGGCTGTGCCCCTTGTGCATCTGGCCCTTTCATCTTTCCTAAACCTGCCCCTGGGTGTTTACATAGAACAATAGGAGCCTGTTCACCTCATAGGGTTGGAGTGAAATGCTGGCAAGGAGAGCGTGCCATCTCTCAGGGGCCTGGAAATTATCCCATTGAATCTTAGGGCCCCTTATTTACTCCTGATTCCCAAAGCTTCCTCCCCCCTCCCCCCTTCACCCTCACTTCCCACTTGTTCTCAACCAGCCTCTGCATCCAGGGCTCCTTGCCAACCCTTTCCTCGGGGCACTGATCTGAGCAGGTCTATCCGCCTAGGGTCCGGGGGCCTACCCCTCCACCTATCCTTTTAACACCCCTATCTTTATTTCCTGGAGCCTGTACAACACTGCCCAATTAATCGTGTGTGGTCCTGTAATGCTTCCATGTTCGTCTCCCAACTAGCCTGTGAGCTTCGAGTGCAGGGCAAGGACCTTGTCCTGTTCGTGGTGGTGTCCCCGCTGCCCCCACCAAGGCGCCCCCGCCCTGCCAATGGCGCTTAGCACAAGGAAGCACAGCAGAGGTTCCGCAATTCTTGTCTCAGATCGTCTGATCACAGGGTTTAGGGCCCTGGACAAGCCCTCCAGGGAGGCTGCAGGAAGGCGCCAAGGTGGAAAGTGCAGACAATGTGGAGATCCTGGAGTCCCGATTCCAGCGCGCTGGGGAGGGGCCTCACCTAGCCCAGCCGGCCTCCCAGCGCAGCTCGCGAGACTGCAG